CCTGCTGAAAGCAAATAAGAGGGCAATTGGGTGGACAATGGCTGACATTATTGGCATTAGTCCTTCCATGCGCATGCACCGCATTCTACTTGAAGAAGGAGCTAAACAAGTGAGACAGCCCCAAAGGCGTTTGAACCCACTAATTCTAGATGTGGTGAAGAAGGAAGTAACAAAACTCTTGCAAGCTGGAATGATTTACCCCATCTCTGATAGCCAGCGGGTTAGTCCTGTTTAGGTGGTCCCTAAAAAGTCGGGAGTCACTGTGATTGCCAACCAGAATAATGAGTTGATTACAACAAGAGCTCAAAATAGTTGGAGAGTCTGCATAGACTACCGTAGGCTCAATCAGGAAACCTGCAAGGATCACTATCCTCTTCCATTTATTGATCAGATGTTGGAGCGGTTGGCTGGTAAATCCCACTACTGTTTTTTGGATGGGTACTCAGGCTACTTCCAGATCCACATTGCACTTGAGGATCAGGAGAAGACGACCTTCACATGCCCCTTTGGCACATATGCATACATGCGAATGCCCTTTGGACTTTGCAACGCACCAGGTACTTTTCAGCGTTGCATGGTAAGCATCTTTGCTGAGTTGTTAGAGGATTGCATGGAGGTTTTTATGGATGATTTCAGTTTCTATGGTTCTTTTTTTGATGCATGTTTGGGTAATCTGGGTAGAGTTCTGAACAAATGCATTCAAACCAATCTTGTGTTGAATTTTGAAAAATGTCATTTCATGGTTGAGTCAGTGATAGTTTTAGGGCATGTTGTTTCTAAAAAGGGTATTGAAGTGGATCCTGCTAAAATTGATGTTATTACTGCTTTGCCTTACCCCGCTTCTGTGCGGGAAATTCGTTCTTTTCTTGGCCATGCAGGTTTTTATAGACGTTTCATTCAGGATTTCAGCAAGATTGCTCTTCCACTTGTCCAATCTCCTCCAGAAAGACATTGACTTTGAGTTTGGTGATGCATGCAAGGCAGCTTTTGATCACCTGAAGCGCTGCCTAACCATAGCTCCTGTGATCTGGGCACCTGATTGGTCTCTCCCATTTGAGTTGATGTGCGATGCATCTAATTATGCTGTTGGAGCTGTTCTTGCTCAGCGGGTCAACAAGGCCCCACATGTCATTGCATATGCATCCAGGACATTGGATTCTGCTCAATCCAACTATACCACCACTGAAAAAGAACTCTTGGCTATAGTGTTTGCTCTTGAAAAGTTTCGGTCGTATCTGTTAGATACTAAGGTTATTGTTTCCATGACCATGCAGCTTTGAAATTTCTTTTAAAGAAAGCAGATGCTAAGCCTAGACTCATCCGGTGGATGTTGCTGCTCCAAGAGTTTGATATTGAGATTAAAGATAGAAGTGGAGCGGAAAACCAAGTTGCTGATCATCTGAGCCACATCACCTCTCTTCATCTGACCCTATACCTATTGGGGATGATTCCCTGATGAGCAGCTTTTACAGCTGCAAGGTAAGTTCCCTTGGTTTGCTGATATAGTTAATTACTTGGTTGCTAGTGCATTACCTGTTGACTCTACTAAGGCTCAGACCTTGAAACTGAAAAGTGAGTCTAAATACTATGTGTGGGATGATCCTTACTTGTGGAGATTTTGTAGTGACCAAGTGGTTAGGAGATGTGTGCCTGACAGTGACACTCTATCTGTTTTAAATTTTTGTCATGCATCTCCCTGTGGTGGTCATTTTGGACCACAAAGAACTGCAAGGAAGGTTCTAGATTCTGGTTTATTCTGGCCTTCTCTATTTCATGATGCTTATGAGTTTTGTAAGTCTTGCGCTAATTGTCAGAGAGCAGCTAGCATTTTCCGTAGACATGAGATACCCCAAAACCCTATACTTTTCTGTGAGGTTTTTGATGTTTGGGGTATTGATTTTATGGGTCCCTTTCTTGTTTCCTTTGGTTTTGCTTACATACTCTTAGCTGTGGATTATGTTTCTAAGTGGATTGAGGCGAAAGCCACCCGAACTGATGATTCTGCTGTTGTTGTAGATTTTGTTCGTTCTCATATTTTCTGTAGGTTTGGCATTCCTCGAGCCATTATCAGTGATCAGGGCTCACATTTTTGCAATAGGAGCATGGATGCCTTGCTGAAAAAATATGGAGTCCTCCACAAAGTATCTACAGCATACCATCCACAGACAAATGGCCAAGCTGAAGTTTCAAACAGAGAAGTTAAGCAAATCCTTCAGAAGACTGTCAATGCTAATAGAAAGGATTGGAGCAAGAAGTTAGAAGATGCTTTGTGGGCATACAGGACTGCCTATAAGACTCCGATTGGGATGTCCCCTTACCAGCTTGTTTATGGTAAGGCATGCCACCTACCAGTGGAGTTGGAGCATCGGGCATATTGGGCTGTGAAGCAGTGTAACATGGACCTAATCCAGTCAGGGGGAGAAAGGAAATTACAACTGCAAGAGTTAGAAGAGCTTCGTTTGGATGCTTATGAGAGCTCACGCCTATACAAGGAAAAGACAAAGGAATTTCATGATAAGCAGATCCTGAGGAAAGAATTTGCAGTGGGCCAGAATGTGCTGTTATTCAATTCCCGTCTTAAGTTTATGCCTGGTAAACTCAGATCAAGATGGGATGGCCCCTTTATTATTACTGCTATTTTTCCTTATGGTGTAGTTGAATTAAGTGATAAGCAGACTGGAAACACCTTCACTGTGAATGGGCATCGTCTGAAGCCCTTTTATGAAGGAGTACAGCGGCAGCAGCTTGTAGAGACATAGACAGATGCAGAGCTTCGGCTGCTTGATGTTGTTTACCCTCCTTAAGGAGGACAGGGAGTTCACTTCCTTTCTTAGCTTTGTTTTTCACGTTTGGATTTCAATAAAAAAAAGTTGATTGATTTTCTTGTTCTCTTATGATTAGTGAGTTATACATGGATTATACTTGAATCACAGGGTTTGATAGAAATTTCTGCTTAGGCTTGGTTCTTGATTCTTGGATTTCATTACTTGCTACTTGATACTGTGCTGCTGATTGCATGATTTGGTATACCCTTGTGAAGTTTTTGAGCCTGTAGACATGGTCTTCATCTGTAGGCCAATTTTTCTTTCTTGTGTGATTCTGCTCTTGATTGTTGTCCTCTAGAACTTTCTCTTGTTCTTTTTGAAACTGCAGTTTCCACTTGCATGCATGAATATGATTGAGGTATTCTTTCTTTCTTTACCCACTTTAGCCAGATAGCCATCCCTTATATTATTATCCCTTGGTAAGCCCTTTGAGCCTTTCTTTCCTTTATTTCTTAAGCCACATTACAATCCTAAGTGAAAAACCACTTGATTCCCTACCCTGGGGATTTACTGAGAAATGGTTTCATTGTGATGTTGTGTTTAAGTGTGGGGGTTTGCCCGAGACGAACAAAAAGTTTAAGTGTGGGGGGTGACCATTTGATTCATTTCTGCTATATGGTTTTACTTATGTGGTTTTACTTCTGAAAAAAAAAACAAAGAGCAAAGAAAAAAAAAAACAAAAAACGAAAAAAAAGGATGTGTTTATTTCTATCTTTTCAGTATCTTTGTTTTATGTTCTTAGTTTAGTTCTTAACTTTTGCTCTTTGTAAATTTCTGGAGTGTTTAGCTTTCTCTTCCATATTCATCCATGCCTTTACCTCAGCCCCATTACAACCTTGCATAAAGCCCTCTTGATTTGTGCATGCATGTGTTATTAGCAGTGGAGAAGTAGAAGTTGAGCAATCCTATGGTAGGATGATTTTCTTGAGTTGATTTGAGTGATATACTGAATTAACTGATACACTTGAGAGAAAATTGAGAGCATCCTGTGAGGAACCATTTTTGTGTAGTTAGCAGTTGCAGTTGAAATTGGCAGGTCTTGTGATTTGAGATTAAGGAATTTTTGTCCTGGTTGTTTTATCTGTTCAAAACTTGTGATTTTTGTTATCTTTTGTATACTTGCTAATTATTAGGAAGGATAGGTTGATCTTCACTCTTTTCTTATTTCTTTGCTTTCTTTTTTCTATTATAGTTTTTGCCCAATAGTGCAAAAAGCTAAGTGCGGGGGAATTTGATAACTCATATTTTATTGCACTTATTTGTTACTCTTGATTAGTATTTTTAGGATTTATTTGAATAAAATAATGATGTTTTGAGTTAACTTACATTTTTAGTTTTTGATTGGGTTTAATTTATTTTCGTTAGAATTTTTCAGCTTTACGTTACTTCTGTATTTTTGCCATATCTTGGTCCACAGTGTTTGGATTGACTCCGTTCTTGTTTGATTTTTTAGAAAACACAGAGGGCTACAATTCTTATACAGAGCTCGAAGCCCAATTCAGAAAGGAAGCTGGTCGAATTCTTGCGCCAAGTCGGACACATTTTGCTAAAGTTTTAGACTTGTAATTTAAATTAAAACCCAATTACATAAGTGGCCCAAAGCCAAGTTTTATTTTATTTTATTTATTTTATTTCGTATTTTAGAAAGATGGGCCGATCAGAACTGAACCCTAACCCGATTTGGGTAGGGGTATATGACGGCAGAGTAGAAAACTATTATTCATTCTAAATTTTCGTATTTTGGGATTAAAGCACTTTCTCTGGAGCGTTCTTTGCGTTCTTCATCTTTTTCTTCTTCTTGTTCTTTTTATTTTATTTTAATCATGTTTACCTTAGCCATGCGAAGCTAAGAACCTTTTAATCAACCTAAGGGTAATGCATTCCATGGAATAGTCTTGAGGGTCTGCGCTTTATTTTAAATCAGTTTCGTTTCCCTTCCCAACTCAGATTGATATCGTGGATATTCAATCTGAGGTTCGCTATTGCGATTATGGAAAAGGATTAATCATCAGATTTGATGGTTAGATTGATTGACCCTATGACCTTAAATCAAACGGGCTGATATTCTGCGATTGTATGAGTAGAAGCACCGTATTTGATCAAATGTTAAGCGATCGCTTAGATAGGGTTGTCAATTGCAAATAAGGATTCTGATTCGATTGACGATCAATTACGATTCTGATATCTTTTTATCTGAGGAAAGACGTCCATGGAACCCTAACCTTAGGTTGGTTAATTTTTAATTACGAATTTTTATTCCAAAGTTATATTCTGCCTTTTCAATTATTCAATCAAAATCCAAAACCCCCATTTTAATTTTCTGTCATTATAAGCGATTTTTACCAAAACAATTTCCTTGAGAGACGATTTAGGGTTTTCACTTTACTACAAATTTTCTGAATCCTAATAAAAAATAATTTTTAATTTGCGCGAGTTCGACAGCTCGTGTCAGTACCCGGACCTCAGATCTAACTTGCTGAAAATGGTGGCGCCAAATAATTCATCAAGTAGTTCTTCTATGGTGGGAATAGGAAAAACATTATTGATGGTGATGGATATTAGGGCTCGATAATCGACACATATTCTCCAAGTATGATCCTGTTCTTTTACTAGTAATACAGGTGAAGAGAAAGCACTATGACTATGCTGTATAAAGCCCAAAGACAACAAATTAGCCACTTGTTTCTCAATTTTTGCCTTTTGATGGTAAGGATACCTATATGGTTTTACCACTACAGGTTTAGAGCCTTATACCAATTCAATACCATGCATCATATCTCTATCCAGAGGTAGGGTAGTAGGAATAGAAAAAAATGGAGCTATACGAGATTAAAACCTGCCAAATTAGGGAATGTACCTTCTCCTGCAACTGTTGTAATTCCCTTAAAGTCTATTGATTGCCATTCCCTTATGCACATGGCAATTTGAGGTTTCCTCACTTGACATAATTTCACCTTGTAAACAGACTTGCTCACCTTTCCATTGAAACTCCATTGAGTGTTCACTATAGTCATGAGTCACTTTACCCAACATAACCAACCAATGCATTTCCAAAACCAATTGTAAACTCGCCAATTCTACTACCCAAAAATCCACCTTGAAATTGAATCCCTGGATCAGCAATTCCAGCCCTGGACATTTCTTCACACAGTTTAAGAACTTGAGGCAAGTTTAGTTCCTCTGCCAAAGAACGATTAATAAGTTGTGTGAACTTCCAGAATCAACCAAAAGATACAACTCTTTAGTGCCAATATGTGCCAACAACATCAGTGACTTGGGGTCAATTGTGCTTGATAATGAGTTCAAGGCTCCATCCACTTTTGATACATTGATTCCTCTGTTTTCCACACAATTTCCTCCTCATCTCCTTGCGCACTGTCATCCTCCTCATCTCCCACCACGAACAACATCTTAGCCTTGCAGCGATGTTTGTTTGACCATTTTTCCTCACAAGTGAAACAAAGCCCCAATTCTCGCTTTCGCTATATTTTTTCTGATAATTTCAGAATGGAATCAAAGAAGAAGCTCCCGTGGTTGGTGCCGGTAGAGCTACAACTGGAGAGTTTGATGGTCCAACAATTTGCTTTTCCGAAGACACAAAAGAATACTTGGGACTTGACTTTTTGGTGATTGTTGAAAAAGAGGATTTTAGTTCTGTGTGATGGTTATCATATACAATCGCCAATTGCATAGCTTGATGTAACGAGGAAGGAGAATGTAATTACACTGCCCCTTACTACTCAGATTGTAGCCTAGAGACAAAGAGAGCCATTAGTAACTCATCGCTAATATTATCTACCTGATTCATCAATTTCTAGAATTCCTGCATATACTCCACCAATGTACCATGCTGCACGAGTTTAGCCAATATTCCTATGACATCCTTATAATTCGAAGAACCAAACATTTTTCTAACCGCCAGAACAAAATCAGACCAAGAAACGATCGCTTCGCTATTATAAACCATTGGTACCAATCTGCAGCGGTACACTCCATGCATAACCCAGCGATTTGAATCTTTAAATGTTCCGGAAGAGTAGACAAGTATCTGGAAGAACAATTTAGTTTTAAAGATCCAATTATTAGGTTCCTTTTTCATGTACCTCAAGATAGCGCGGTGGTCAACGACATTTCCCCCAAACACTGCGCGATGAGCTCCAGTATCCAAATTAGGGTTCTCAGATGAAGAACATGAATTTTGAGCCATGAATTCCCGAAATGTTGCATCCAATGCAGAAAATCGATCAGCGAATTGATGCAAAAGCTGATTGACTTCATCACGGTGAGCCATGAATTCCTCTGCAAGCTCCTGGACTGGCATAGTTGAATCAGAACGAAAGCACCTGAATGTTAGGTGATAGCACCTAAGAACACATGACGCAAACTTGTAGAAGAAATATACTGAGTAATGTGATCTTTTTATTCAATGAATCCCAATTTAGCCAACAATCTGAGTTATATCCTTTTTACAAACAGTAACCGCTTACACAATTGTACCTAACTCAATCTCCTTGAAGTTTCTACTACCACAAACTTCCTACTATATATTTTCCTTTTTTACATAGTCCTTGGCCTAAACTGGTTTCTTCTCCCTTATGGCTGTTTCTCACTTTGGCCCGTAACATCATTTTTTCTAAACTTTGTTTTACAAATATCTTCAAACTCTCCACTTTTCTATCTTCACTCCTAGTAACACAGCTTCTTCCAATGTTCCTCTTTCCCTTTTTTTTTCTTTCACAAATCTCTTTTCACTTCCCCTTTCTTATATATATATATATATATAGGGTTTAACTTTTCTTATGTTGTAGGATTGTAGGAGAGAAAAAAAGTAGAGAGAAGTTAAATGTGGGTCCCATATTTTATATTAAAAAAGAAAAGAAAAATTAATTGGCACGGAAAACGAATTTGTGTAGGAAAATGAGAGTATCTCATGT